GGGTCGAACATTTCTTGTGGGKTTTTTAATCTGCATCGTAAAATATGTGAATAACAAGAAAAAAACAATTTCTTGTGATGTTTTGGAACTTACAGAACGTAGATGAAGTGAGAAAAATAACATTGAAACTCAAGAATAATGCATCTCTCTTGAAAGAAATCCAATTTAATAAATTATAAATRCAGTTTCCTACAAAATAGAAGGATAAATTTGGATTTGTGGTCTATCTCTATATATATCTCTATCGCTAAACCAAAATTTAAATAAATCAAAAATTTGTTATTATCTACCATGATGATGGACATGACACATCCAAAGGACATGTAAGGGAAAATTACTAGTTTTAGGGAAAAATGCTCATTTTCTTCAATAATTCTTAGAAATACTATTATGGATGTTGCTCAGACCATGTTAGGTCACAGAGTCTGGCATAATGGATCAGAGAAAAAATCCATCTAGTCTAGGATAAATTTCAATGTCGGTCAGCAGCAAGTAGCTGGGTAAGAGAGCCTTTTGAAGACTATGATTTATGGTTGAACCTCATGATCTTGAAGSTCTTTTCCAACCATAATGATTTTATGATTCTGCAATTCCATGATTCTATGACTATATAATTCTATCAGCAGGACAAGTGTATATGGTGCTAATTCACCCAGCATCTCCAGTTATTTTTTTGTATCAAGAACTTCTCAAATCAAAGTTAGTATCTGTACGTATAAACTATGACTTGGTCAATGCAATGCTCAACCCTGCCCAAACTTTCAGACTYCACAACAATCTGCAGCAGGGAGCTGCACAGCTGAACCTCACACAGCCTGAAGAAATGCTGCCTTTTGCTGGCTCTGAACCTACCTCATTAACTGCCCTCCTGTTTTAGCATTGGAATTGTGAATTATTGTCACTAGCCAGTTTTCATTCCTTTTTACTGTTTAGTTATTATTACACGTCCTATATACTGCAGCTCAAATGATGCCTCAGATTCTTCAGGCTTTTGTGGGAATCAGCGGCTAACTGTTCATACCTGGGATCCTCTCTCCTGTATGGACTGAAAGCTCATTCCAGAAGGAAAGTAATATTATCCTCTTATTCTGAAGAAGAAAATGTTTTATTGAAACCCCAAAGTTTGGGGTTTCAAATTTTAGCAGTGAAAAAACAATTCTAAAATTCTAACTTTTGATAACAAAGTTTTCTGTGAAATCAAAAGCAGAGTGCAAAGATGTCATACTAAGTTTTATTGTTCTATTTAATAATTTTGTGATTGCTTCCATTTCCACTAGCAAAATTACAGCTTTCTGCAGGAAATAACATTAAAGAAAAGAACATCAAATTGCATAGCTGATTTTTATGGAAAGGGACTATCAACCTTTGCATAATCGGATGGCTTTGTCRTGAAATCCCCAGTGGTGCAGCTATTCTCAGCGCAGAAACTCCTCTCCAAACCACAGTGAAACACACGCACACTTTAACTACACAAAATGCCTTTTTTTTYGGATCCTCAAGAGGAAGAGAAAGCAGAACTTCTGAGCATGGAAATCTCAGGTTCTTCTGCAAGCACTTCTACAAGTATTGCTGGCCATCCTGGAAAACCTAGATATCGCTTGCATGGGAAAATCTTGCTTTTTTGAGTAGGAACTCAGGGAAAGCATAGAAGGATCATTTTATATTTGGACAAGGAATTTAACATAAAGAAAATTACATGAGACTTCTGAGTCTGCAAAATCTACTAAAATATCACAAGGGCACATAATTAGTCTCTTTATTCTTGCATGTTCCTTAACAAGTTGCTCTCTTGGACTTCTTGGCTGAAGTCATAGGAGCCCCCAATGTCTGTTGAAGCGACTCTGGTGCCTCTGTAAAGGCTGTGCTTGGCCTGGCATAGCTCAGAACCACAGAGCCTCCCTTTCTTTTCAACAAAACATGTCTAGGGATATCAGCATCTAGCGGGAACAGCTGCACTTCAGCAGCTGCAGTCCATCCTACTAAAGGGGGAGAGTGGCGTGAACCTGATAGCTCTGCACTGCTCCCTGCCATCCTTCAAACACACAATTCAAACAGTGGGAAAAAAAAAGGAGAAAAGAGAAGGGAATCATTATTCTAACTTGACCAGACAGCTAAGATATTCTACAGAAATCTGAATAACTGTAATAAATTTAGTTGCTGTTAATATCTGGTTAATTGTCTCATTTGCTCTGTGATTTTGGTCTCTTATGTGCCTTTCACTTTCACGCCATCAGAATTGCCTTCCTCCATGCTCTTCCTCCTCATCTTTGACCCAGTGCTTGCTTTCAGCTTTCTTCTACACCCTGTATTCAACACAGTAGCACCCTAAGAAAAATGAACACATGCAAGCCAACAAAGCCTCACTTCAGATTACAGTTATTGATTTGTTACTAGCTTTATCTATGTGATCAAGCCAGATGCCAGTCCTGAAACTGCCCATATACAAAAATAAGCAATGCCTGTATATGCTTGCACATGCAAAAACTTTAATTCTTCAAAGATCTGGAAGGACGGATCTGTTTTTGGAAGATCTTCAACACTTCCTTCCATTTTAAAATGGCCCATCGCACTTGTAATTACAAATGAGTTCTATTTATACACACACAGCTATATAAAATAAAATAAAATAAAATAAAATAAAATAAAATAAAATAAAATAAAATAAAATAAACCCACAAAACTTCATCCAAGAGAAAATATCAGGCACAGCTCTGGATTTACTGACTGTTTATTTGGTTCTCTTCATCCAGGTTTCAAAGTCTGTGAAGCACAGAAAAGTGCTCTATTATTTCTACCTAATTTTAACCTGAGAACATAACATTGGTGGGTCAGTCAGCTTAAGCACCTTTCATACCAGTGGACAGACTTTGATATGTCTGGATTAAGACTGCAGTTAAACTGAACTCTAAATATTGCCCTGGAGCTGCTCATCTCTTTCCCCTGAGGAACCTAAGTGGGTGTGTGCTCAAGTTAGGGGCATAAAGACAAAGGGRGAAACCTGGGCCTAACCCTGTCCTTTCTGCAACAGCTTCCACATCAGTTCAGTGGCAGAGAAACACAGCTTCACTCCTACCCTGCTCCTGCTCATGGAGAGCAGCCCACARGACATACTCTCCCAGATGTCTCCACCCTGATAGACCAAGATAATCCATAGCCATATGAAGCCACTTGTTCTTGGAAGCAGCTAGAAGGAACTTTTCCGGAATTATTGTATCAGCAACATCAGGATGTCAGGGGACAGAAATGCCAGTCCCGTTATGTAAGTGTAGCACGTGACAAAGGAAAGGGGGTGTGTAAGTAAGTGGAGCAGTGGTAAACCACGAGCATATGTATAGATTTCAATACACAAGASAGAACATAAACTAGAGGAGGGTTTTAGTCCAGGACCCATCCATGAAAAAGTCTGCTAAATAATTGAAGTTTTTGAACCAAGCAAGAATGTAGCACATCTGAGGGAGAGAAAAGAAAGACCTCTTAAAAAGGAACTGATAGAAGAGCCCAGTGGAGGCTTGTGTTTTTCCACACAAAAACACATTCTTCTGTTTTCCACAGAGAAAACTATTTAAATTCGAAGATACTCTTTGAGTCAGCTATTAAGTTTGAGGAAATCTTTGGGAAAAATATTCCTGCTCTCCCCAAACATAATGTACTTCTTTCAGAATGAATCAAACAGTTTTTTAAAATACATATACACAAATATATACTTAAAGAGTTTCCCAAAATCAAGACCCATATGAAATAACAAATCAATTTGCGTAACCTTGATAACAACTAACACTTGACTAACACTTGACCACATTTGTTTGTTTGACGCAAGAGGAATTTATTGCATCCAACTGAAAAGGGCAAAGAAAAACAYGAGAAAACAAAGCCAAAAAACTAACAGCAAAATGAAAAGCAAAATAACTACACAAACTCCAATATGCCTTCATATGTACAAAAAGCCTCCTGTCTCCAATACAATTATTTACATATATGTGACTGTATGCGCATACACGCAGACCCGAGCAGTCTGCCTTTCCTTCACCGAATGTATCAAGACACAAAACTATGTACATTTGCTCTAGGTACACACATGCAGAGAAACAGAGTGCTAGCAGATTCTATTAAAAGCTCATGTTGCACATGCACGACAGCTCCTGTAAAGTACTCAGAAAAAGGAAAAAATAAAACCCACCCCCACCACCAAAGCCTCCAGACAAAACCTTCTCATAACCTTGCCAAATCATAACTGCTTTGTACCACGCTGCTGAGAAACACATCTGCCCCCAGTACTTTCCTTTTGACAGATTTCAAGTTCCTGCCATCTACTAACTGCAATCGTGCTTGTACTATAATTTACTTTATTATTATTCTTAATAATGATAATGGGAAAGGTGTTTTTCACTCTTCTTTTCCAAAAGAGAGCTACAGCAGTTTGGTCTAAGTGTTCAAAAAAATATCTCAACTAGTAAGAGATTGCCAAATTCCAGGAAAAAAAAGGGGGGGGGGAGGTAAAATGACTGGGAAAAAATACAAGCCACTGAAAATCTTTTCTTAAAATGAAAACACTTGTGCAATCTCAACTACCCATTACAAACGTTATTATGTCCTTTGAAAATGAAAAACACAAAAGCCCTCTTTCAAGTGGACGATCAGGACGGTCAAATTCAGCCATACTTAGGAAAAGCCAGAGGAACTGATCTGAATAAAGACGGAGCTTAAAAAGCATCAGGTCTTGGCTGGTTGTAAAGACTTTCCTATATCCTGCAACTTTTACCAAAAAGGTTTGCACATCAATACAAATAACCTGTATTTTACAAATGCTTTAAGCTTTCACCGATCTCCATTTTCCTTTAGTCTGTTTTCTACTAGAATCTGTGCAAAGACGAGCCACAGGCTCAGGATTAAGCAATAATAATAAAGAAAATCGACGACTAAAGGAAAAAAAAAATCTAATCGAAAGCCCTTTCAACTGGCAAAAACGTGCCTCATAGGGACCATAAAATCCATGTAATTACCTGCTGCAGGATCTGTAACCGCTTGACTGGTGACGCCAGATGGTGGTTCTTGAAGCTGGTATGTTGCATTTGTAGAGGGTGTCGTTGGGCTGGTGCTGCTGTTTGTCATGTAATGCGAAGGATACGGTGAGCTATTATAATACTGTGCATATTGGCCCTGGCCAAAACTGGGATAAGAGGGATATTCCTGCAGGAGAAAAAAAAAAAAAAAAAAAAAAAGGCAACTGAAATAATCTATCAAAGTTTTGCTACTTTTTAGTGTAAATTCCAAAATATAACTGCAAACATATGCTGGACTTTCAGCGTGTATGCTTTCTGGGCTATCTGCTGTAAGACTAAAACTGTGAAGCAGTAAAACTAAATCTAAATTACACATAACTTAGCATATCTTCTCATACAAATAATTTATTAGGTACATCACTTAAGATGTGCATAAATAAGAACATAAAACACGGACAATTAGCTTTTTATTAGAAGATGACAAACCGAGGAAAGACATTTATAAACATTCATTTAGCTTGAAATTAGGCTAATTTCTTACAGAGAGCTATTTAACAAGTACATTTTTTCCAATAAATGAGAAGCCTAAGTTTACCAAAGTTTCCTCAGCTCATATTTACAAATTTACCTGCTGTGAACTATTAAATCCAGTAGAATTTGTGAGTGAATTATTTCCTGCATATATTCCTGATGATGTTGTAAAACTGCTGCCTGAAATGAAATGAAAAATTATAGGAATTACTAAAACACAGTACTGGAAAATAGCTTCCATCATGACGATATATTCCCCATATAATATTCCCCATGTAACATTCCCCATATGTTGATTGATTTGGTTGTTACCAGCTGTATAAGATGTCAATATGGGGAAAGTGATAATTCATTGGTCCTATGCCCTGTGTTTCACCATTTCAGTAAAAATAAAACCTGCTTCCACGGAAATTTAGATGGGGGTCAGAGTCACTTCAGACCTCACTGTACATTTTCCTGTCAGGTTCCAAATATTTTGTCCTTCCCGGTCACCTGAGTTATCCCCAACTTTGGGGCAATAATGAGGGTTTTCTCATGTGTATTTTTTACTTAGTCCTGACCTGTCCTGGGAGATGCCGTGTGCCTTTGCTCAAGCCCATGGCCTCACCTCCTCCTGCCACCATCCAGAACTGGGACCTCGCTTATCACTGGCCTGCAGTGCTTGAAAGGAGAGGGGAGAGCAGTAATTCCCTGCCCTAAGAATCTCCATCCGACAGTGAAGCCATTAGGATTCCCTAATCGATCATAGACAGCCTTGGGCCACAAACCTCCTTCTTTTCGGACAGAGTATAGTGAGCGCGACACAAAGGAGAAAAAGCCCCTCTCTTGAAAGCAAGACCGAAAATTGAATTACTGGCTTCGCCTCCCTCCCCCCGTCGCCGGCCGACAGAAATAGACAGATGGGGCCCTTGTACAGCGTCCAACCTGAGACGCCGCTCCACGCAAGGGCAGCAACCCCCCTTTCAGCTGTTCTGCCCTCGCCCCTTCTAACCCAGGAGCGACACAGCTACCAGCTGAGCCAGATGGGTGCACGGGGTGAAACCACAGAAAGCCACGAGAAAGCCTGCAACGAGGCAACCTCTTGAACCCGTGCAGCRGGAGGTGGCCACGGAGCTGGGAACGCGTGCTGGAGCTCCACAGCCTCCCTCGCCGCGGAGTCCTGCCCTCGGACAAGGAGATGCTGAGACCTTGGGAAAAGCTCGGGGGTGAGCAGAGCAGGCAAAGAGATCCACCAGAATGAAAATCACTAGGGAGCAGCCAGGTGAAGGGAGTCGCTGAGCCCCTGCTATGACCAGCACACCTGCCTTAACAGCCAAATGCTGCAAAACAGTCGTACGTTTAGGAAAGCAAAGGTTCTTGCAAATCCAAACTGCAAGGAACGCCGGGCTGCGTGCTTAATGCAGTCCCTAAAGGGCATTCGTGAGGCATTTGCTTTCTGTAAAATAAAATAAAATAAAATAAAATAAAATAAAATAAAATAAAATAAAATAAAATAAAATAAAATAAAATAAAATAAAATAAAATAAAATAAAATAAAATAAAATAAAATAAAATAAAATAAAATAAAATAAAATAAAATAAAATGAAATAAAATAAAAGGCATTCTCACACTAAGAAGCCAGAAGAAAAAATATTTAAGCGCTCTGATCGCAAAAGTTACTAAAACCATACACCTCCTAAGCCTCAGAGTAGGAAATGTGAGGTATGTCTGACAGCAGTGGGAGTGAAAAAAATGAGCCTTAAACTTAATGTGTGATAATGACTGTAAACATTTCTCTTCTGTTTGCTCTGAGTGYTAAAGTTCTGTGGTTGTTGATAGATGCTACTAATCCTGTGGACTGAAATCAGATTACTTCAGCAAAGAGTTGACATCCAAGTTTAGCAGATAGTACAGATAAATAGTACTAATGAGAAAAACATGTTGTTTTAAATTTAATTTAAAATTGGAAAACAGATGTTATTTTTTATTATAACAAACCCCAGCGCCTGAATACAGCTGAAAAATATTTTAAATTGCAAAACTTTGAAATGCTATTTTATTTCTAAGAGTGCTTTGGCTGGAAAAATGTAAGTCAGTACGTCTCTTTTCATTTCTGTAGTTATTTCTGAGTGATGCAGTAATACGTTTGAGCATAATGTTTATAGGTGTGTGGCATGAGCTGTTCGAAGAAGACAGAAAAGACTTTTTATAGTTGCAAGGGAAGGGTAAAAAAAAAAAAAAAAAGAACTCTTTTTTTTTTTGGATGAATACATTCTCTTTCCACCAAAAGTTTGGCAAATAATTTGCAAGAGCAAATGAGAGAAGTAATTACATGCCAGTCAGCATCTCTGCCCCTTACACAAAGACACACACATCCCGACGCACAGATCTCTGCCTTTCATCTTATGGTCAGTGCCGGCTCCTATGGAGGAGGGGTTGGGGTCTCCTAGACCGTAACAAACATGAAGCAGGTTTCTCAGAAACTGCTCTGTGGGCCACCCAGAACTACTGGCCTTAAGTTGTTTCAAAAATACTTCATTTTTTTTGCTCTTTTTTTTCAATAATGGGCTGCGGGATGGCACGGAGCTGCTGTTCCCGCGCAGGCTGCGTGCCCGCACGCAGTCCATGCAAGGCCCCGTTATGAAYGGCGCCAGTTTTCCTGTGACAAGCTGCCCGACGGAGCGGCGGCCTCCGCGACGTGACAAAAGCTGTAAATCGCGGGTCAAAGGTCTATTTGGCCAGGAGCGAGGGCCCACATTAAAGCTGGGAACCTCCGGCAGCCGGCAGGAATGCCGCAACCTGCTGCGAGCGGCCGCGGCGCCGCGGGGCGGCCCGGCCCGGCCTGGCCTCCCTGGGGCTTTCCCACAGCGGCCCATTTGCCTCCGCGGCGCCGGCGGCGCTTCGCCGTGGGCCGTGTCCATCGTCAGGGTACCGTGTACGCGGCGGCGGCCGAGAGCGGCTCTCCCGGGAGAGCCRAGGGCGGCCAGATGGGCTGCTTAAACTCAAGGTTTCTTCCGCTCGCTCACAGTGTTTTAAAAACCTTTGGCAAACTCCCCTGTGTTGTCCTAGTAACTGCGTGGCCATCCAGCACAATATTTTTACGCTGTAGCATAATAACCAAATACCTGACCGTTTACTTTTCATGGACCAGTTCCCGAAGCGATGGGTGAGCGTGTTCGGAAACACAACAGGCTGCGTAGCTGGAGCAACGCGGGTGTCCCACACAGGGCAAGGGCCCTTCATGCCGTGGGGCTCAGGGACGGACGGCCATGAGGGCCCTTCATGGCAGTGAACAGCGCTCCCGCCCCAGCTTTCTTCTCTCCGTACTGCCCCCGGCTTTCTCCTCTCCGCACTGCCCCTGGCTTTCACCTCTCCATACTGCTTCTCCTCACACAGCTCCCTCCATCCCGTCACTACAACAAGCACGGCCTGTTGCCACAGCCCTCACTCATGTGTGGGGCCTTTCAACATCCATGAAAGAACTCGTGAGAAAGAGCTTCATGGATATGTCCATGAAATGTCTGTTGAGGGGAGAGGATGGTGCCCTCCCCCTTTGCTCGGCTGTAGGGACGAAACATTCCTAAGAAACCCAGAGACCATTACTGGCAAAACCATAGTGAGGAGTCCTACACAATGTCTTTCTTCAGGATTTCCAAATGTGACCATCTCTCCCTTGGCCATAGTCCAGGGACTGACCATGATGTCACTTTGGTAGGACTGGGGAGAGCATGAGGCTTAACTGGCTGTCCCAGCAAGGAGAACAGGACTAACTCCAGGGCTCCAGAGCACAAGGTAACCCCAAAGCAGAGAGCACAAGAGCCACAACTGCTGGGCTGCTGGTAAATCCTGATTTATCCCGAGAGAAGCTCTTTTCCCTCACTGCAGGTTCCTGCACAAACAACCCAACAGCAGCAGCACTACTCTCATTTTCTGGGAAGAGAATTAATTCTACCCTTGAATAATAGCTCAGACTATGAGTAGTTTCGCCTTCTAAAATTAAAACTGTGAAAGGAGAACAAAAGTTCCCATTTATGTTTAACATCTGTTCAATAATAAGGAGGAATTAGGAGAATTTAGAGTTGTTTGAAATATAAAAGCTTAATGAAAGCATTAAAAAGGTGTATATTCTGGTGGATAGTGTAGGTATATACTAAAAACACTTAACAGGAAGAAGGATGTGGTTAGCAGGTTTTCTCCTTCATTTTCTTATACCTCTGCCTATATTTCATTTGAAAGGTCCCCCTTATTACTTCCATCCTTACGTGCTGCAGGGTTTCTACAGCTGACCAGCCTTTTCTGTGCCCACACTCCACACAGCGATAACTGCATTCGTGAGCATGGCACGTTGGGCAAACACACCACGGTGATGCCCACACTCCCCCATCACTGACCTGCGGCTCCTCTACCCAAACTCAAACTCAAACCCAACCAAGGCCTCTCTCTGTCACGTTCCGTGGGTTCCAGCCCTTAGCCGAAGTGCAGGACACAGGCTGGACTCAGACACAAACCACCTCCTCCCTCAGTGCTGGTCGACAGCATGAGCATGAAATCGATTACGTGGCGGCGCCGTTGTCCCTCCTCTTTCAAGGCTTCACAACTGGGTAGTCTTCAATATGTTTCTTTGTATAATATTTTTAGATCCTGGTCTTTCAAGGCATATGGCTGAAACGCTTTCCAAGATCTTACTGTTCCCTGTCCTAACAACTGACACACATTTTTGACTTTGCCAATTCTCATCTGATATTTAGTTTGCATATTGCATAAAACAAAGCAATATCCTTTATGACAGGTCTCTGTGCAGCCCACTGAGTCTGAGCTTTGCTTCTCTCATGCCAGAGTTCACTGCCTACTCTTAAAATTTTCCAAGAAGCACTCTCACATTATCCCATGCTGCTCCCCCTTTCCTCCCTCTATTGAATGAGTTTCCCATAGACATCTGCAAAATCACTTCACTGTCCTCTCTAAAATCCCCTTCTAGTGACATCTCTGCTCTGAATTTTACAAAAGAACAAAAACCAGCTTTACAACTGTTAGATAACGCATATGGTGCGAGTAGTGTTTTTTATATCTAACAGCCTCATTGTTATTTTAGGCTCTCACAGCCTCCATGTTTTAGTCTCCAACTTATGTAGCCATATGAAAATACAGTCTCAACACAAATTAGAACAACAGGCTCCCAATATCTGGCTATGGTACTAAGGCACTATGACAATAGAAGTTGTAAACAATATAGATATGATTTTTCTGTATCTGTATTTACTACTGAATTCATGTATTTACATGAATTAAATTCCTTAAAAGCTGGAATGTTTGTCTATCTAGGAGCTCCTCATAATCACAGGTAAGCATTTTTGGCTGTCTTCTACACATATATTTTAATACATCTATTTATACATATATACCTATATATAGGCTATTAGCAGAAAATAAACCTTGTTTTTGATCTGGTTACAGCTCTATCTATGCAGATGAGTACAAGTTCACTACTAACCAATGAGCAGATGAAAGGTAACATACTAATCTTATATCATCCTCTTCTTCCTTGCCAAAGGGCATTACAAGAAAGCAAAACTTCAGACGTCAGATGGTTGTTTCTGCCATACTGAGCTGCTCAACATCCACAGTTCAAAAGGGGATTTAAAAAAAAAAAAAAAGAAAGAAAGAAAAGGCCTCTCCTGTCTGAGCAAAGGACTGGATCAATATACCCTTAAAGCTGTGGAACAAAAGCAAAACCTCCTTCACTTGATCTCTGAATGCACTTCTGCCGCAAGACATTTCATGGAGTGTTAATAGGATGATGTACAGTTTTAATGAAGCAGATAATAAAGGAGCTAAACTTTAAAAAATATGGTCCAATTATTTGTAAGATCTGGAACCTGCAGAGCACTTATCTCCCCAGTGCTAAAACCCTATCTGCAGTGCTCTGTGATTCAGGGGTGAAGGGTCCTAAAGTGGGTCTAAATTAGCTATTTGCCTGAAAAAAAAAAAAGTTTTTAAATATCTGCAAAGTGGTGAAAATCCAGAATCAGGCACACCCAGCAGTCAATTAATACTGAAGGGGTAGAGAGGAAGATGAGAATGAGGTAGAGAAGAAGAGTAGAATGAGGGGGAAAGATTTTTAAGATATTAAGTAAAGCAAACAAGTAAGACAACAAAATATAATTGACAATAGTAACTAGCATGTACAAAGACTTAAAGATTTAAAATAGAACTTTAAGCTTTTAAATAGACTTCAAACAAAAAGGCTTCAATCATTACTTAGCTACCTCCACAGCTGCAGTAGGTATTTTTATCTTTTCCCTCCTCAAACACACTTAGGTGTCAAATTATATTTGGCACGTCCTAAATTCATAATCCTGACATGTTTTCCAGGACTCACTTTGTCACTTTCATTATTTTTTTAAACTTCTGCTATTTGGAGCAACAAGTTTCACTTTAATAACACTAAAACACTTCAATATTAAAAAACTAATGAAATCTCGAAGTGAGGGATCTTCCAAACTGCTGAGCTGGCCTGTCGCCGCTCTCAGCAAAGGCAGTCAGCATTTCAGCTCCAGCTGCAACAGCATCAGAGGCAAGCTAGTACTCAGTCAAACATGCATTTTTATTCTAGGGATATAAAGAAATTAGGGGGGAAAATCACATGGTGTTAGTTGTATCTAATTAGTGGTAGTATCTATGTATACAGACCTTGCATCTGGTAGCTGTAGGGAGCCTGTCCGGGTTGAGGTGTGCTAAAGCTTGCACCATAGCTTAGAAATCCCGTCTGTCCAGGTGACTGGGACTGTGACAATCCACCTTCTGTCTTGATGCCTGCCCACAATGCACCTAAATCAGTTAGTGACAGCAAATCTATTTGTTCATATTCAAACAGGGTTGGAAAATTAAATCATTTCATTAACAGCACTTTCTGCATGCATGAGAGAAGGAATATCGAGAGTATATAGCGAATAGATGGGGTAAAGGCAGTCTAAAAGCACACATAAAACTGAATTTCACCAGGGAGAGGTTAAATTTAAAACTGTGTTTCCAATAACTGCAAAAGAAATTTATACATGAACAGGAAGTTGCATTATTCTTTTTTTCCTTTCCTGCCAGAGGCTAACTTTTCCATATATTCATGACATTTCATAGAGGCAGATTAGCAACTTTATATGATTTTAATGAAGCATAACATAGCCAAACTCTCCTGCCATCCACCCATTAATGACATAACTCAGATTTGCATTGTATAATATTCCCGCATCAAAATTACATGGCTCCAAGTTCCATAGCTTTCTAAGGAATTAAACACCTCTTTAAAAGCAGATAAAGAGAACTTTCAGCATCAAGAGTAATGCAGATTTTCAAAGCTAATTAAAAATGATAGAATACATTCAGTCTTTTAACAAATAAACACATACAGACATGAAATATTCCTAGAGCAATCTCCCAAACTGGGAAAAACATAGCAATCTTATTAATCTGCACTGACAGGGAAATCCATTACACATCACCTTCTCGTTTCCAAATTCAGTGATAAAATAACCCAAAAGCCAATTAAATGAATGACTTGCCTCCCAACTTCAGTGATTTTTTTGCATAAAATTGTAAATGAGTAAGCAAGTAAATATCAGCAAATGACATACTGAGGAATGCACACAATTCAGCCTCTGTCATCTACTTTTATTAATATCCATGTCCCAACATGAACTATCATTTAAGCCATATAAAAACATTAAAGCCAAAGAAATGGAAAAGTAGCTTAAATCTCTTACATGTCACTGAGGCGTTCAGTGATACTTCATTGTTCAGAAACCACCGTTATTTGAACAGAACGAACTAACTGTGAATTAGTAACATTCATTTGAAAATGTCTGTTAATCTAAGTCCATTTCCTGGCTGTATTTTTTATTAAACAATGTTCTACAATATTTGAAGGTCGGAGAGAGCTTAGAAGTTAATGTGTTTGCAAAACTTCTGTTTCTCCCTATGCACAAATGGCAGTGTATTTTCTTGATTATTTTCCAATGGGGGTCATTAATTATCCTTAATTCCTCTGCCACACTTGCTAGCTGCCAGGCTACCCCTGTTTGCTTGTTTTTCCCTGGTGCTTACTTTCCTCTTCTATTTCATGTTGCAATTAAACAATCACACTGATGAATTCGACACCTCCTTTCCAATGGGAACCTCCTGCTATGGATGTTCTGGTACCCACAATTCCCATTTTCTGGCTGTTTAAGGACCTCTGAAATGCTGGTTAGATATTTCTTCGAGCAAGCTGAACTAAATCAAGTTTTAAAGTTCTAGCCCAGCTTTAACAGACTGATTCAATGCTCAGTTTCAGAGGGGAGCTGATCAGAGGTGGCAGCAGGAAGATGCTACTCCAGTGAAGACAGCTTGACATAGATGTGTCCTTCTGCCAAACTCCAAGCCCTGAGGAACCCTTCCTCTCAGGAGACCTGCCCTGCTCACCCGCTCTCCTCTACAAGGTCTTCACTCACTAAACCCCCATGTACCCTCCTCCTCTCCTTGCTACCAGCTCTAAAATGCACAAACAAGCGGGAAGGGTCAGCACAGGAAAACCTAACGGGACTGTCAGTATCTCGGAGGAGAAGAGGTGGGTAAAGGAACCCTTCCTGGGGTCCTGTGGGAGCGGGCAGGAGAAGGGAGCTTCAGGAAATTCTCCAGCCTCCTCAGTGGCTTTACTGAATGGATGGATTGGAGGAAGCAGTGCCAAGGCACAGCTGTCCCTGGCATTCCCCTCCACCCCCTTTCCTGCCCTCCCGACCTCGGCATGGTGGAGGTGTGGGAGGGGAAAAATGGATAGGCTGGATGTGTTCAAGGAAGCACCTTCCCAAACTGTGCCCTAGGGGAACAGCTTGAGGTACGTCCATACATGAACGTGCAATTATAAGTGATATTAGAAAAAAAAAGAAAGAAAAAAAGGATCTCTGAAGAACATTTTCCCCCTTCAAGTGAGTCTCAGTCAAGAAACAAAAGCACAAGAATCCCCTCCACATCCCAGTTCAAAGTTTTCTTGTCTCCTAAGTCTCCTCTCTTTATACCTGCTGGAACCTTTCTGCCCGGAAGAGAAGCAAAGCATATGATATATGAGATCCATGCTATGGACCCAAGAGGAGGATTTGTGCTCTAAACAAGGCTTCACTTCTCTGTTTGCTTTGTGCAAATGAGCATCCCACTGTTCCCCAAGCAATTTATTTCAGGAGTTCAGATTATGACCCTTATGATGAGCTTAAATGTGCAAAATATATATGGTGATAACTCTTAAAACTTTCTAAATGTTATTTGCTTTTAAATAGCTCTGCTAGATGGTAAAATACACCAGCCAGAAGCCCCTTAGCCCCTGTCAGGAGGCTCTGTCTGAAGAGACCAAAATGCATAAAGACCCATTTGGCTCAGCAGCAAAAGCAACTCTACAGTGTAAAAATCACCCCAAGTCTTAGGCACAGGGGATGGGCTCGGTAAAAATCAAAACAAAACAAAACAAAAGAGCAGGCAGGAGTGTTAGCCCCCAGCCAGCAGCTGCCAAGGAAAGCAGCTCTCAATTATAGCCCCGACGACGAGGAGGCAGCTACGCCGAAGCGCTGAAACCAAGGCCCCGCTCAAGTCAGTGGGAGTTTTGTAGCTGACTTCAGCGAGGTCGGGATTCCATCCAGAGGAACCCAGCAAAAACAAAAAGTCACTGTTTGGGCTGGCCAAGCCACCAGACAGCCAAACAGGAACACGAGGTGTCCACAGGGCAGACGTGTCAGGAAAAGCATTGTAGGGAGAGGTATTGTCTGCTGTGGGACCACCTGGGACACGTGCGCGTCGGGAACAAAAGCTTTCTCTTTTTTGGCAGGGGAAGAGAACCCCCATCTTTTTAGTCTTGAAAATGTATTTTAAATACTTTTAAAGTATTTTGTTTGTCTAAGTTTAAAAAATGACATGTCCAATTCATGTTTATAACCATATTTCTGGCAGTAAGTTATCAGGACTGAAACCATAGGAAGAACGTTACTTTGGGTCATAATTATTGACAAAATACTACTGAAACACTTATCTTGTAAAGTCAGGGAAAACAATAACCTATTTATTCTGCCTAGTGTCCACAGTAATCTGCTGCAACATACGCTTATGCCCCTGTGCATTTCAACTTGCAGATTGAAGACGTAAGATTCACCGGTCTTGCACTTAGCTTTTTTAATAATTTTAAGGGGCATAAGCCTAGACTGTGAGTTCTGTCCCCTTGGGCATAAAACTTACATTATCTGAATGTACTTTTACGAAATATGCTGCTAAAAGCACGTGGATCATATATTTTCTGTATATCCCCTGAGAGGAATATAAGACCTATTTTCTAATAATGCATCTTCACTGCCGAACTGCTATGTGGTCTGCCAGCAGACAGTCTGGCAGCAAAACAGTCTCACCCACAGCAGCTTGTTTTTAAATTAAATTTGGGGGGAAAGATTTGTTACTTAGTCCTATCTTCCTCATCACACAAACGGAGCTTTAGTGGCAATTTGCCTCAATTTCCCCCTCTGGGGAGTTCCGTAGCGTTGCAAGCGAGATTTTGGGAGGCCTTTCCAATGAGGTCTTTATTCCATCAAAATCACTGCAGTTTGACTGATCCGCTTGTCATTATAATAATCCAGGTCAGCCAGAATTTATTTACCAACTTGCTCTGTCACGATGCTGGCGAGCACGGCAACGTGGGGGTTACCACGAGTAATGTGTAATGGAAGTCCCGAGCTCCGGTTCCCCATTTCAGCACTGCCTTTGTTATATCCCTGGTAAAAGGAATTTCCCTCCTTGAGCTTTAGTGAGATCGGAGCAGGCCTCGGGTGGCTTCTTAGTTCTCCAAGACACCCCTTCAGCCGCGCTCGCTCCGACAGGAAAACTCCATGTGGCTTTTCCCCGATCCGCGAGAGCGCGGCTGTCCCGCCGAGCGCTGCCGAGAGGACCACGCGGCCTCCCCGAAAACGTTTACCTCAGGAATAACGGCACGGACGTGGCTTCTTACCATACGAAGGGATCCCATAGGGCTGGCCGGGCTGCGGGTAGGTGGCGTACGCCGTGGCTTGCTGCATCCCTGCTGGAAACTGCGTCTGCCCGTACGCAGCCATGGTTTGCGAGGAGGGGGTAGGGAGGATATGTGGGTATGGTCTGCTATTGATTACGAACGACAGAGAAGAGGACAGGCACCGCGTTAGACAGACAGGCCAGCGCTGAGTTTTAGCCTTATTACAACCCTGCTACTTCATTAAYGCACAGCCGTAGGCTGCACTAGCGCACAGACACTGCGAGGCAAAGAGCAAACAATAATAACAACTCAATAATAAAGGAACAAGGAAAATAAGGACTTTTGCAAATATTATTTTCAAATACATTCTTAGCTTTAAAAAAATACATTTTTCTTTTTCCTAGAAGCTGCTGTGGTTTAAATTATGACTTAACAGATGGACCCAATTATTATTTTAAATGAGGTTAAAATCTGCCTATTTCAGTTATTATTATTACTACTATTATTATTATTTTTAAAAGATATCATACTTGGAAGGGTAAATCTGTGGTGGGGAGAACTGGTGTGTTTGTCTTGGGCTGAAACCACTGCTTCCAATTGCTGCGCCGAGGAGAAAAGAAAGCACACAGAAGTGTAAATACACACACCAAAGATAAATATTATTTTTCCTAATAGAATTTCAGAATATTAACAAGAGTTTAATTAAATTCAAATATCATTGATACCTGAGGTAGAAAATAATATTTTATCAGGAACTATGCAAGAATGCTTAACGTGAAAATCTTGATTACAAATTTCAAATACTAAATTGCCCCTTTGTACAACTCCAGAGCAATAGCTGATTCTTCGCTTGCACACAGACAACATTTTCAATGCAAACAATCTATTTCCTAATGGAAACATTTTCCTTCATACTTTCAAAGGATTATGATATCTCAAGTGCAACATTTTATTAACTTTTAGAATTTTTAAGACCTGCATTTTATGAAGGAGCTTTATGCATGCCTCTATTGAAAACATATGCTCGGCTTCAGTGCACGTGCCTCTTTCTGAAATAATTTCATGATGCATAAGATGCATTACCATACTACACCTCCCTTTTTTTTTTTTTTTCCTCTATGCTATCTGCTTATTTCTAGAATGCTTTTAGACCTTAGTAATGCATGAAAGCTAAATACTGAAGTTCCCTCCCTGTGGTTCAGACACCGAGGGCCCCCCAAACGCAGCCCCTGCTAACACAGAGCCTTGGGGAGCCTCCAGCATTCGGGGGTGCTCAGGTTGGACGCGGTGGGTGCTCTGCTCCCATCCTTGTTTGYGGGAGATCCCACCCTGCGAGCATATCCCGCTCGGATTGCCATTTGGGTGCCACTGCTGCTCTCTGTCCCAAAGGATATTGGAGCCCTTTGCCAGGAAGGGGCCGCTTGCGGGTTAGGAGGCTACTGCAAAATCAGGCAGCCGGAGAAACAACAGGCCCCGCCGCTAAGTAGCTGCAAGTAAACAAGGCACCCATAATTACCCTTTCCCAGCTACCCCTCTCCTGGCCAACTACAGGGAAAATCCATCATCTCTGCGCTCCAGGAGTGCTCGGCCAGYGGGGAGGACTACAGCAGAGAGCTCCCATCCTTCCACAATTCTGTTTTTTTCGTGGCACATGATGCTGTAGATATTTCAAATGTCATCACATCACCACACATCACCACAGATCTATGTAGCTACTGTTTTCCTCTTTTTTTAAAGATTTTAAATATTCCAGAAACCTCATTTGCCTTTAAGGCCTGCCCCTTCCATCCTCAACTGCATACATAGAAAATGGGGAGTAACAGCAGGGCAGGAGCAGGCTGACACAAGCCTTACTGCTTGTGAGACATCAAATTCTGCTGCTCTGGAACTGTAATATCGTTGTTAGATCCCTTTTTTTTTTATTTGATTTGTGCCGTAAAAAAATGATGTGCTAGAAATACCACTGTTAATCCATAGGTATGTAAGACTGTGCAAACATCTCGGGGCTTTCTCACAGTATTTGCCTCATTAATGTTAGCAGCTAAGAGGTGTTTGGCTTCCAGTAAGGAGAAAGAAAAAGAAAAAGGAAAAAGAAAAAGGAAAAGGAAAAGGAAAAAGAAAAAGAAAAAGAAAAAGAAAAAGAAAAAGAAAAAGAAAAAGAAAAAGAAAAAGAAAAAGAAAAAGAAAAAGAAAAAGAAAAAGAAAA